CCACAGACTGTGTGTGTGTTCATGCATGGTGTCATCCATGGATCCGCTTCGAGTATTATGGCGGGTGGACCACGAAGCATTCCAATTTTTCTTACTTGCAACATGTCTGGACCAGCGAGGACGGTCACAAAGAACAGATACATTCCTCGAATCGTAATGAGTATTCTTCATTGTTCCTTCTCATCGGCAACACCGTGGTCTTGCAGGTTCATGGAATGTAGAATCAACTAGGCTTGACAACGTGTTTTGATAGCATTTTTCCTCCGTTTTGTGTTAGTCAATGTACTTTGCTAGTCCATACCAAATGGGTCTAGTGTGGTATTTTCTCGGGACCAGCCGTTCATTGGGGTCTAGTCTGTCTCATTATGTAATATACAGTAAGTTGGACTGGAGATTTCAAAAATTACCATACATACGGATGGGCACAGCAGCCACTCAGGCAGTTTTCAGCCAACCTTGTCAGCGGGGTCCATCCATCGCCCTCGCTGCAGCCTTGTTGGTTGTATTTGGTCGGCGGTACCTGGATACCTCTGACAACCTGTTACCTCTGACATTACGTATAGTGCAGTAACTGTAAAATAAAGCCTAGGAGACTGGTTCCAAATTGCAGCAAAAGTTCACTAAGGTACTGTTGCTGTGCCTCTCTCTGTGTGTGCGGCCCCCCAAAGGCCCCCAACACTAAAACTAAGTACTTCATCCCCGGCCCTCCCCTCCTCTTCCTTTCCCCTTCTTTTCTCTCTTTTCCTCTCTCACAGGGTTATATCGCAATCCTGCCCGTCATCGATCGTCTTTTCCCCTCTACTTTGGCCGCCACAGCCGGTATTTGGTGTCCTGTCTCACGGCCGGCGCCAAACGGTGCGTAGGCTTTGGCCCCCCTTTCTCCTCTCCTCTCTTGATTGATTGATTTTTCGCGTTCCTCTCGGTGGTTTCTTCCGGTTCCTGGTTCCTGCGTACTACAGTTTGAACGACACTACAAACTGCCAGAATAACCCCGATTTCGCTCATCTACCTATCTCCTCACTTCTTTCTCGCTTCAATTCGACCTCGACAAAAAAACTATACCCCTCAGTTGCGACTCGACCCTTATTAGGTGGAACGGCGTTTCTGTGATATTGGTTCAGGTGCATTGGGAAAATTCAGTTGGAAAGATACCCTTGCTTTGTTGGAGTTGAACTTGGTTCTCAGTCGGTCCGATCGCCTTGACGGACCGCACACACAACCCTCGAATCCCGCCTTGACGGCTCTTTCGATTCGTCCCGACAGGGCTTCCTGTTCGGTTTTTATATCATCGCTCTAAATTCGCAAAAAAAGAACCCGTCTACTAGGACTCGAGAGACCGTGCTCTCTCTTTTCCTACCACCCGCGCCCAATACCTCTTCAAGTTCAAATTGTCATTCATCGCGAGTCGTCGCATGTTTTCTACCCAGTAAACCGCGATGCTCATTGATGGCGAGAAGTGGGCTTGTGAAGCTTGCGTCCGGGGTCACCGAGTCAGCAGCTGTCACCATAGTGGTAAGTGACACATTCCTGGTGGCAGAAAAGAACATCGCCGATCAAGCTGGCTAACATACCTTACCAAATATAGACCGCCCCTTGACCCACATCAACAAAAAAGGCCGTCCAGTCTCTCAATGCGCCCACTGTCGCGGCCTACGCAAGTCACGGACAACCCACACAAGGTGCGAGTGTGGTGATAAGAAGAAGAATAGCCACAAAAATGATTTAGATCCCCACGCCGTTGACAAACGGGATCTCAAGCGTGAGCATGTTGGCGATGGCACTTTCGTTCAGTATTTCTGATTAAGATTTTACAGAGGACTCCCGTCCAAAATGTGGCTGCATTCATGGTCAGCGCTGTACCTGCGCGCTGAAGAAGGAACCCCATCTAGATACTGTTCCGGAAACCGGTCTGCCTCCGCATCCGCCTGCAGCACCGTCGGAGCCGCCCAGAAAGCCCCAATTGACTTCGGCCAAGTCAGAAAGCACGCTCACTGTCTTCCGCGATGGTCACCACAAGCCGGCTCACAAGCACAATGACATGGCGCACAAGTGTGGTCTGCCGTACACGATTCCGCGCTCACATACAATCCACGCTACATCCGATGTTTCTCGCCGATCGGTTGAATTCCTGCCTTTGACCGAGCCAACTTTTCTGGAGAAAGCTTTTGCCAGCCAGGTGCAGTTGGAAACACAGTCGAACGGTTCGCAACAGCGACTTGTCAATTCTGAACATGGATCGCCTGATAATGGTCCAGCTGCTGCTACGGAAGATATCACCACGACCGTGCCGCCGCTCGACATGTCTTCGTTCTTCCCTCAAGCTCAGCCGTCTATGGATCAGTCTTCTAGCGGCACAGCGGAGACAATACCGACGCCCCTGAGTCAAATGCCCTTGAATTCGCTTGATCCGGTCGTGACTAGCATGCCGCCTCTTGATGTCTCATTCACCTCGTTCCCGACGACGACTACGGTGACGTCGACATCCCCCGTGACGTCCCTGGCCATCCAAGATCCCTACAAGGAGCCTTACTTCGCGTCGCCCGACAGCGACCTGCCTCTAAATTCTGCTGCCTTTAGCGCGCCTCCGGTCGATTGGTCCAATTTTCCTCTGTATTCATCAGATGTTCCCACCGCGACCAGCACACAAGCTCCTTCGTACGCGAGCTTCGACTACAATTCGATGGCGCCCGGCTTCACCGCCCCGTCCTCGTCAGGTGACATCTCTGAAGCCGAGGATTTTGGACCGCTGTCTGGACTTGGAAATACTAGTGGCGATCTACATGATATGCACAGTGCGAGCGATGGTTCGGATTTCGATCATTTCCGCCTCAGCTCCGCCTCGTCGTTCATTGGTCTGCCGCAAGCTCAGCTCTTGTCTTCGAACAATCTCGAGGCGATTGACATCGACGAGTTCCTCAAGTCCGCCAACGCGTCGACAGCCGCCTTGGAACATCAGCTACAGGCCAGCATGAGCGTGGAACCTAAGCCCCTCCCTGCGCAAAACACGTTTGTCCCTTTGACCGATGCAGACAGCTTCAAGCCGATGGCTGATTCGACGACAAGCCTGCCGATGACGACGTCTCCTGCGGATACCATGTGGCCTACTGCTATGTTTGATTCCAGTGCTCCGTCCTTGGATGACAGTAATGGCAACTTTTATACCCCGCCCTGGGTATAATAGTACCAGTACATCGTCTGCTCGGCACGGTCTTTCCAGCTTCCCTCAATCTAGTTGCGGCTACCTTCTTCTCCTCCACCACCTCCACACCGTCTGAGTGACGACCTACGCCCTCATGACCTTGATGAGAGATGATGATTATTTCCTGACTATTTTTGACATTCATTTTGTTTCGATTAGCGCAGCTCGAAATCGTCTGACGCTACCCTAGCATTTCAGATCATATCAAGATTCCCGTTCAATTTCCTTTTTTCCCTTTTGCTGTGCAGTCGCTGGCTCTGTATACCCCAAGACCACTGAATCGGCAATGGTTTGGACTTTGTACTCATCTACAGGCCAGGCAGTCGTGATGCTCCCAGTCATGGTTGGCTTGTTATTCCGTGTCATTGCATCTATAGATATTCTGCTCCGCCAGTGTTTTGGTGGTTTCCATGCAGTTCAAAAGATCTTGATTATGCACAATAGATTTGATCGTGTTCTGATCTGCGTTTAGTACGATCTACTAAGCTAAAGGTACTGTAGTTGCATTGATTTGCATGTCTCGTATTGTTCTGTATTGCGTCTGTTGCATGAACTACTCCGTACCTTAGCCAGACATACAGTACCCACATACTTAAGGTAGATGATTCGTAGGTATCCTGCAGCATAAGTGGCGGTGTGTATTTCGGAGTATTTTTCCACCTACCAATCCAGCGACAGCGACCGATGGGATCGAGAAGTCTATCGTCGACGTGTGACTCTTAATGAATGACGCAATTAGCAAATGGTTATGCCAGTTTCTGAACATTCCGTACAATGAAATAGAAGCGTACTAGTACTGCTACAGTGGAGGTCTCGCAACCTACCGCCGCAGGGATGACCCCACGCAGTCTTCGTACATACACAGGGATACGCACATCGAATGGAATGCCGCTCGCTGCAAGGCCGAGGTGGCTTGCGTCCATCCCAGTTTCAGTTTCAGCTCAGCTACGTAGCCTTCTCCTCTCCTGCGCTGACTGTGCATTTGTATTTGTCTCTGCATTTGCTCTTGCATTTGCCATGACGAATGTGACTCGGCGACGGCGCCGGTTCACATGTGGGATTGCAGTAGCCTTGCGTCAGGTCCGGGATTCACTATTTACTATTCATAGGGTGCCTTGAGCCCTTGACGCTGAGAGGGTGCTTTGCTCACTGCGTCGTTCGCTCGTCGCTTGTTACTACATTCACTGCAAGGGAGGCCTACAAGCTTTGCTTCAAGGCTTGTTGCAACTTGGCTTTGGCTTTGGCTTTGGCTTGGGTTTGGGTTCTTCGTGTCTGTGTTGCGTTTGCGTTTGCATTTGCGTTTGCATCACATGGATACGTACGTACGTACTTCCAGGACAATGACGCAGCGCAACGCATGCCAGTAGTACTGCATCCCTTGTTGCCTTCAGGTTTCTCTCAGTCTCAGGTCTGGTGCCGTGATAGCCGGGGTATGTGTTGTACTAGTCTCTCGCGTCAGCAGTCTCACCTTGGATTCAGACCTGCCTGCGGAGTACTAGCATTTGGTAATTCCTAGAGCTGCATGTGGTTGCTCCGTTTTGCTTGGGCTCTTTCTTTGTGTTGTACTGCGGTGGCATCTAAGTCTCTTTTTGTGGGTTGATCGGTTTAGTTCACTAAGCAACGTAGGCTAATCGAGGTCCAACCTAGTCGAGTATATGGCATTCCATGTCTACTACCAGGGCTATATACTCGGCCTTCTATATCATTTTGATTTCCAGGGTATCCATCACATGCCTCGCAGCATGCCTTCCTATATGATCACTCGAAAGAAAAAGAGATTCGTAACGGTCCAGTGAGAACGCTATTTATACGTGGCCATGAACTCGGCGTGGAACTTGACGATCCGCTCGACCCAGGCAGTGCCGGGGGCAAGGAAGGTTGTGCGGAAGTGAAGGGTGTTCTCCTTCTGTCCAAAACCGGAACCGGGGACCACGCAAACGCCCGTTGCGTCGAGGAGGCGCAGGCAGTAGAACTCGTCGGCGGGCCGGCCTTCAGCGGCAGCGGCTTCGACGGCCTTAGGGGGCAGGGTGATGCTGGGGAAGAGGTACATGGCGCCCTGCATGATGTTAGAGACAGTATAGAGTCAAGGAGAGAGTAACGTACCTGAGGCTCTTGACATTCGACACCCTCCATCTGCTTGAAGGCTTCGTACAGGGCGAGGGCACGCTTGTGTAGACCATCGCTAATGCCGTTGTACTCCTTCTCATACAACTCGTAACTGGGCTCACCCTTCTTGGGTGGGTTCACCATAAGCTCGACCAGACACTGACCGATCACCGGCGGGCACAGCATGATGCTGACAAACTTGTAGATCTCGGCGGCGACCAAGGGGTCGAATCCGACGAGCTCGAAGTAACCGCCTCGGTGGCCGCATTCGCCCACCATACCCTTGGACACACTGTGCAGAGAAGCGAGTTCGACGTTGTCGTACTTCCCAGGCACCTCCTGCTGGAGCTGGCGCAGTCTCTTCTTGAACGATGTAAACTCGCCCACGAAGACGTTGGTCTGGTACACCTCGTCGGCAATGACGACCAGCTTCTCCTCTGCGGCGACGTCAAGGACGCTCTTGATGTCCTCGGGGCTCAGTGAGGCACCCGTCGGGTTACCGGGGTTGATGACAACGATGGCACGAACCTCGGTGCCCTCGGCCTTGGCGCGCACCAGAGATTGCCGGATGGCCTCCACGTCTGTACCCCAGGCCTTGTCCTCCTCCAGGAGGTATGGGACGCACTGCGCATTGAGAAGAGACAGGGTGGCGGTGTACAGAGGATATTGGGGAATCGGCACAAGGACACCGGCGCTAGGGGCGTTGCAGATGACGTTCAGCAGGGTGCTAACACCGGACGAGGCACCAGCGCAGAGGTACAGGTCTTGAGGGTTGGCGGGGAAGCCGTCACGCTCCTCGATGAATCTGGCCACGCTCTCCCGGATTAATGGCGCTCCCTGGCTGTGACTGTAGGCACCGACGCTCTGAATGTCCGCAAGAAGCTTCTTGGCCCGGTCAATGACGTCCTGGTTGTAGCCGAAAGACGAACGCAGGGCCTCCGGTTTCTCCAGCAGTGCCGGGTTCTCGAGGAGACTGAGTACCTGACGGAAGAAGGTGATGGGTTTCTGATCCAGCTGCTGGGGGTTGCCAATATTGGCGAAGATGACACTGTCAAAGGGCAAGGACTTGTCTCCCTTGGCCAACCTCACACGGTACTCCTCTGCCTTGACGGCAAGCTCACCACGGACAGCATACTTGGCCGCCTTGACGTTGGGATTGATATTGTCGGCATGGAGACGACGAGGGCCGAGATCAGACGCAGCCCTCTTGGTGGTATATGGCACGGTCATGGTGGGTTCTGTGATTGTTCACGACTACGGGTCAGTTTTTCTATGGTAACTGCGGCCCCTCGAGATCAATATATACATTATGTACCTGGGACCCGAACGATTTGACTCGAAGGTGGGGTGGGTACGGAGTAAAATGGATACATTGTCACGGGATGAGGGGAGGGGACGTGGCCGTATGCCAAGTGCAAATCCACGCATTTATTGCCTCAAAACCGAACGAACATCCAATGACGAATCATGGTTGGCTGATCGGACGATCATTCGGGGCCAAACGGAGCTAGGGAAGTCTCCCGAAAGCAAGACGAAACGTACCTGGAGAGGTCCTGGGGCTGGAGACCCCCGCGGGTAGCCCTGCCGCCCAGCAGAAAGCCTGACGGCGCGGCAACCGAGTAATCGGCCGGGAAACTGGACGTCCCAAGGCCACCGGAGGTGCCCGCATGTGGGATGCGAGCCTAAGCTGCCAGGTCATACTGCGCTTCTGGTCTTAATCAGGCAATGGAATGGCTTCCTCCTTTTCTTTTTCTTCACCGCGCGTGGGATGTGAAGGAAGACCTGACAGTAGCGCTTTCCGCTCTTCCTCAGCAGACAGGATACAGAGGGGAAAAGCGAAAAAGACCGTCCAGAAAAAATGACCCCCAATCTGCGGGAAAAACACGCGGTGAGCGACTTTCTGCAGGCGGTGAGTCAAAACGGTCTGGCCGTCGTCGGCTCGCTGACTCAGCACTCAGCACTGTTCCGCGGCAACCATCGGAGCTGGATTCGTCTTTCCTTCCTTATAGATAGAAGTATTGGGTAATGGTTTGCCAAATTATGGGGTATATCATCGAGTCATCAACCCCCATGCTTTGAACCAGAATTTTCATCTACCGGGTACCGTCCCGGTGCTGGGATCCTGAGTCGGAGCAGCTCGGGGTTCATCTGGGGTTAAGTTTCAGGCATTTCTGCACCTCGACCCTTCATAGCCTCATAAATACCTGATTAGGAAAACAAAAGGGAGGTTGTCGAGGATATATTCTGCGTTTGAAACATGGTTGGATCCTAGCTAGCGCAAATGCATGCTGGTCGCCACCCATAACCATCCTAGCACAGGGAAAATCCAACCTACCATCATGCTGACCAGCATTAAAACCAATCCTTATCGACTGGGACATCGCAAGCGTATGCATATCTCCTATATTAAGAGTTTCTAGAAGGTGCTTCTGCAGAGCGAGTTCGGCCTCGTCCGACGAGGGTTGACTCCGCATGCTCCCTACTACCTGACAATGCTATAATAATAACTTATTGGACTGGAGTCACATAGTGGAGTATTATTATGGTATTTCAGGTTACTCTGCCTGCCTGCCTACAGTATAGAAAGGCACCTCGATGAACCAAATTCGTTCACCGATGCATGAGAGTTCCGTATGAACATGACCGACGCTGAGCTGACGCCTCGTTGACTTGACGGACCCAAGATACCTCCGGTCAATGCAATTACAAATCAACTAAGCTCTTTAATTGTCCACTAGATCAGACAATATCATACGATTAAATCACGTTGTCTTCGGTCATTAGATGAATGATACAGCAGCCTCGCTTGCTTTTGCTCTATCAAATTCAAAAATAGACAGACATCAATCGCTGCATCGTCCAAATGATCAAGTTCACCGCGTCAATGACTAGGGATAATCGTAACCTGCCACTCAGACCATTTCTCTAGCTTCGTTCGCTCCCCCGTAGCCGCACAGCCTGGCCGTACTTCTGAAGCTTCGTGATGAGGGCATCACCATGCTTGACCAAATCAGCATACTGCTTGTTCTTGTCGTCAGGCCGGTTCGTCTCAATGATTCCATTCACTCGGTCGATGGTGCACGCGATACGGTTGCTGGCAATAAACTTGGCCAAATCCCTGCATTCACAAATCAGTCATTGTATGATTACACGTAACAGGTGGCATCTTACCGATCCAGGAAGTCGACAGTGACGCCAAAGTCATTTGCCATGCTGTTCAACCCAACCACCCGGTAGCTTTGCAGCAGCTGCTGGTAGGCGCGGAGTCTCATCTCCCGAACGAACCAGGCCCGGTGTTCGTACAGGTACCGGTCCTGAGTGAGGAAATTATCTTCCACAGCCGCCAATGCCCGGAAAAACGTCCGGTAGTTGCCGCTGTAAAGGCTATCAACCAAGTTGGCGAGAGAGGAAAAGTCAACGGGGGCTTCTGCCTCGGCCTGGAGGCCAGAACCTGTTCCGAAGGTGGCCAAATTGACCACGGTGGTGGCGGTGCCTGGAGTGGCCTTAGAAACCGATGCATCCTTCATCTCCTCATCCCGAGCACCTTGTCCAGCGGAGATTTCGCCGGTCAGAGCAGCCAATCTGTCCTCCCCAGCTCCGAGGATCGCCTTGATTTCAGGGGCATCCACGACCTTTGCTTTGAAGTCTACTCGCTTTAGGGACAACGAGCCCGCAAGGACCGAGTAGATGACCAGAGCAGAATAGCTGCACAGCTCGTAGCTCGTAAATGTAGACAGACTATCGAGAAGAAGAGGAGCCGCGAGGTTGTAGGAGCGAACAGTGAGCAGATGGAGGCCCTTGTAGGCCTTGAGACGATTCCTCCGGTCCCAGTCACCACCACTCTCGATCAGACTATCCGCCTTTTCGATATTCTTCTTGACGGACACGGCATCGCCAAAGAAGAGGCCAATTCGAACCATGGCAAGAACGAGATCAATCTTGGTTCCGAGGAACGTTGTCTTCTCGAGGAGCGCTTCATGTGACTCAATAGCTTTGTCCTAGACGATACAACGATATATTAGTATCCGACCACTGACAAGCCTCGTTGATGAGCTGCGCTATAATTTGTCAACGCACCTTATCTCCTACCCGTGCCCAGAATTCGGCACGCTTTCCCCGTGCGGCCAACACTTCAGTCTCACCAGCTGCTTCTTCAGCCTGGTCTTCTTCCTTTTGGAAGGCTTCCAGCTCTTTTTTGTTATCCTCGACCAAAGACTGGTACAGTGCTTCATCCCATGGGAAATCGATCTTCTGTGACGGTTTCCGAGATGCCAGCAAGTTGGAGGTGATCAAAGCCTTGTTCGACCCGTGGGTACTGTGTTGAGGTACACCTTCGCCAGAATGGTTCAGAATGCCTTCGACGGGATGTGCAAGGTGTCGGTAAAAAGGAGCCATCTTATGCTCTGAGATGGCATCCTGAATTCTCTTCAGCGACGTCTCTCGTACTGTCTGGGGGCATGATGGATTGGAAATGTTGAAGACATGCTGGGCGAGGGTGAGATCAGGGAACTTGATGTACTGCGGATCAGACCCCATAATGGCGATGGGACGGAGGAAATTATTACAGGGGATGGACGAGACTGAAGGAGAGAATGGCGGAAATAATGGGTCTTGGTAGTAGAGCGATGCTTGTGTAGGTAGGTCTGTTGACGGGAATCTGGTCGCAGCAGATACATCACGTAACGTAGCTCAGCTCAGCTGGATCAAAGAAGTTCCGCTCCGACGCAAATGTTGCCCACCCATTGGTGGTCAAATGTATATTGAATATTTGTGTTATACTATCTATTGAAGAATAGAAATTAAGTACATGAGGCAATCCTTTCCTAAATGAAGATCTGATGCGTCTATATTGTGTTTTGAACGTGTACCTCCGACGTCAGGTCTGAGTCAGGTTATGCCACACCTGTTCTCTCGGGAAATATATTTCTAAGCTGCCTGTGCCTGAATTCGATGCTAATTACGGAGTATATGTGTATGATCCTGCTGATGTTCCCAGGGTCGGTCAAGTTGTCCATAGGTGCATATAGTTTGTCAACCTGTTCATTCTAGGCATTCAGAATATCCTGATAGGAAGTTCTGAGACCGACACATGAGCTATTTATTGTCGATATATCGAGCGTCAAAACCAGTGCTCTGCATAGCACCCAGAATATTTCCATGGGACCTTGAACAGAAGCAAGGTACTGTGGGATTATGACAAGGATTAAACACCTACTGTGTGGTCTGTCTGCCTCCGGTCTTAGCTTTCCCCCTGGTTGATTGTTGCTAATAACAACAACATATTATTTCAACACGGCGAGACTAAGATGTTCCTAGAGGCATGCGCTTGCGGTCAGTATAGCAGATCGGTACGACAACATCCAATGCATCTGTGGTCTGTACTCATCTGTAGGTAGCCACCTGCCTTGCCGGACTCCGAGTAGACAACGCATCTAATTCTACCTACGGCATTGCGTGAATGCGCGCACACGTGGCCACGTGCTCTGTTTCTTGTTCGACCGGATTCTACCGACGTTTTAGATAGGTTTGGTGGGTGTCCAATAACAATGCAAATTAAGGGATGAACCAACTCACCTCAAGGCAAAGCTTAGCCCGTCCGCTAAAGTGGCCCCACTATATCCACCTCGATACTACCGTATCTCACAAGATCAACTGCCGTTGGATGATGAAAGCCGATGCTTCTAACTAAGATGCACAAGGCTGGGAAACGGATAATGGGTCCAGAATGGCGCGTATTTAGTGGTTAGAATCGGTCTTTGAGATGCGTTCTCAACATGTGCCCCTTTGGGGCGATTGTGCTTCCTGTTTTCAACCTTGGGCTTGTTTCATCTCCTCACTTTTTCCTTCCGCAAACTCTCTTCAGTCTTCCATTTCAATCCCCCCCTTTCTTCTGAGGTATACGCTTGGGAACGTGACTGAGATTTGTTGGCGCAGTCCTCGTATCAACAAGGAAATCAATCTGTCACTTCGCTCCCTTCTGGCCCCAACTTCTAAGCTACCATTATTGCGCTGTTGTAAACCCAGCTAAGGCCAGATTGCTACACTACGCGCAGAGAAATGATGACTTCTAAGCAAGACGATCAGCCTTCTCCTGCGATGGCCCCTGAAAAGGCCTCGAACATTCTCGATCCGATACCTATCGAAGAGATACCGCTGGAGAATACGCAGAAAAGTCGCTGGGAGCGCAGTTGGCCAACCATTGCTTGCGGCGCCGGTCTCTTTTCTGATGG